CTAACCCTTTAGAAAAAAAACCCCCAGGGGTGTTAAAACTTGACAGCTTTAAGCCTTTAGGGTTTAGATAGGACTCTTAGAGGCGAACGGGGTGATTGGTGAGCCAGTCAATCAGTGAGCGGTGGGCAGGGCAAGTGTGGTGCAGGCGGGTAGGGGGAGGGAGCTGGAACCGGTTCTAAATGGCACAGTAGATTTTTGGAACCTCTTCTATAGAAGAGGTTAGAACTGGCAGGAACCCAGGTGTATAGTATTAAAGTATTAAAGGACAGATCCTCTCCTAACATTTCTCCCTGTAATCTGGTGATATGCCTACCATGATGCTTCTTATCAATATTCATAATTAACAATGCAGACTAACGGAGGTAGCCATAAGAGATCATGACACTCAGTACAGATGAAGAACAACTACAAAGAAAGGATAAAGGTGCAAAGTGAGACATGAAGAAGAGAGATGGTGACTATACTGACACGGTCTGCCTATTATTGGTCAGGAAGAGAGTTCGATTCTCAAATGCAACTTCAAACAAGGAATCCTAGTTCTAAATTAGGCTTTGCTATGGCAAGCAAAAATTCAAGGCCGAGTCAGTCCCTTCCAAACAGGTCTGGATGCAATAAGGAGTATCACATTATTATTTTTTTGCACCAGCGTGGCTCTCCCCAAATTCTCTGATTCAGTCTTGCAAAACACAATGGATGTTATCACAACAGACAGCCGAAGTTCCCACTAGTGGGGTGCCAAAATTCCACCCACGCCCTCTCTTGCAATCCTTTTCTTGCCTTGCCATGTTTAGTTCTGCGACGAGAAAAACAAATATTTTTTTGTCTGCTTGGCTGCACTAAGCCTTGTATCAGGTCATAGGACACTGATACAGCTGCAGAAAAAGGGGGAGTGCCATGTTCCTGGAAGGTTCAAGGGGAAACTGGCCCCCCTCCAAGTCCCAAGAAGTGTTTGCATCTTGCCTCTCAAAATATCTGTGTTGTGAGTTGAGTTCTTGGCAGTTGAGTTGGAAGAAAATTAGACCAGCTGCTCGGTAGAGGTGTTAGCAGAGGGCTGTCAAACTCAAGACCCAGGGGCCGGATCAGGCCCCTGGGGTGCTTAGATCTGGCCCATTGGGCTGCCCTGAAAACATTGAAGGAGCAGACCGTGGTGCCTCTGCTAGTGAAAACGGAGCTCGGGAGGGCCGTGTGCGACCTGGCAGAGGGTCACCGGAGGCTGGCCCAGCCGAAAATGGAACTGGGGTGCCCATTTTTCCTGGCAGAGCACTTGTGCCACAGGCGCCCGCAACACGAATGATGTCAACCTGGCCACACCTACCCTGGCCACTCCCACCCTGCCCCCACCCAAGGTCAAATACAATCCTGATGCGTCCCTCAATGAAATTGAGTTTGTCACCCCTGTGCTAGCATGAGAACCCAACTCTATCCCAGCTCCTAGAGGTGCTCAGTGTTGTGGGATGAACGAGTTGGTCATACAGCTGAATGCACAGATAGTCCTCAGCTTATAACCATCTGTGTAGTGACCATTCAACGTTACAGTGGCACTGAAAAAAGTGACATAATTGTTTTTCACACTTACGACTGTTTGCAGCAACCCACAGTCATGTGATCAAATTGCAGGCAGTTGCCAATTAGAACGTATTTATGATAGGTGTCCCGGGATCGTGTGATCACTTTTTGCAACCTTCTGACCTACAAAATTACATTCACTTAACGACCATGTTACCAACTTAACAACTGCAGTGGTTAATAGCTATGGCAAAAGGTTGGTAAAATGGGACGCAGCTCACTTAAACAACTGTCTTGGATACCAATAGAAAAGTTGGCCTCCATTATAATTGTAAATGGAGATGCCACCTGTATTTCTCTACGGCTTCGTCTCATCAGATGGTTGGTTCATCCAGCCAAAAAGAAGTGTAACTTGGAGGGCACAGGGACACCGAGGAAAACTTTGACAATAACGCTTGCTAAGCTAGGCATGGCCTTGGGGGAGACACTGAGAACACAATAAAGTGGGCCCCCAGGACCAGCCCCTGTTCCCAAAGCTCTTTGGTCTGGTTCCTGATGGTTTCCTCAAATTCATTCGGGTATAGGTCATCGTTTTGTGAAATTTCACTCAGTACAGAAAGAAAGAAAAAAAGTCCCCCAGCTGCATGAAATGGAAGCAATTCTACACCTCTGTGTTAATTTGAATAAACAAATGACTGGATAAGCATTTGTCTGGAGACATTAGATCATCACAACATTACAGTTCACAGCAGTGCACAAGCATAGCAAGGAGTGTCTTCTAAAATCATAAATCCCGTTGTTTACAAGGAAATTTAGAAAACACGAAACCAGTTTTTAAAAAAACTTAAAAGGAACGTTAACCGGTTTAACATGAAAGTTAAAAAAAAAATGCTTAAATGTAGTTTTGATACCCAAAAGCTAGCATCCCTATTTGTGCACAATGCTGAAAAATGTTAAGTGTTGTTG